CAGCTGATGCGAGTATCGTAGTGCTGTAAACTTGACATGTTTTTGTGACCAGTTATATTCATGATTGGTTGTGGTAGAATGCCGGCTTTCGTCAGGGTAAAAATGAGTCCAACTTGTGTTTTCGGTATATTTTCCATCCACAGAATAATATCGTCAGCCATTATCGAAGCGCAGACGCAAATTACGCGCGTTGTTTATAAACAGAAAGTAGTTCCAGGAAATAGACGCGTTTACTAAATATGGTAAACGGGGCCCGGGCGTGATATGGAAAATTATTGCATGGCTCGCGCATCGGGATTCCCATAGCGTTACGAGGCCGGGCAATACGAGGTATATGATAATATTTAATAGGGACCAACAAAAAATATTGAGACAAGAGCTTTAAATCAAAGTTTGGTGAAATTAACAATTTAATTTAAATTTTTCTGTGTTGGCTGTATACTATACTTTCCCATACCTCGACACCTAATTGTATAATCTCCAACTGCTCAAACTGGTTTAATTACCTTATCCCAGGATATTGCATGATTTTCATTATTATTATGACTAAATACAAAGATGAACATTGCAATTCAAAATGAATTGTTGAAGACTCACAGCACCATTCTGTGTGGGTTTGATGATTTTCAAGATTACATTTAAACAAGCACCCATCAGAGTTATTTGAAAAGGAAAGCATTTTAGTCTGCATGCTTATGCAAATATGTTGCATCATTATGCAAGGGCTAATATCTACTATTTTTATATGAATTTTTTATTCACATTGTTTACATAAATGATTCATTTTGCCTTCCTTAATACATGTACATTACTATGGTAAAATAACAGTGTGTAATCCTGTATCCAATGGTAGTATATGTCAGATAGTTACAGCATTACCACAGGTAAGATCCATATATTGCCTTCCTTAATACATATGTACATTACTATGGTAAAATAACAGTGTGTAATCCTGTATCCAATGGTAGTATATGTCAGATAGTTACAGCATTACCACAGGTAAGATCCATATATTGCCTTCCTTAATACATGTGTACATTACTATGGTAAAATAACAGTGTGTATTCCTGTATCCAATGGTGTAGTATGTGTTTGTTACAGCATGGTTACCACAGTGGGGCATAGGTAACACTATATTAAATATTTCATACTTGCATGGCGTCCAACTGTGTCGGACATAGTTGGCAACCATCATGGAGGGCACAGGTAAATTTACAGCAATTCCAGGCACTGATTTGACGCTGAAGTAGTGCTAGATGTTGATAACTTACTACAATAGGTTACATACTTTGTTTCCACATTTACATAAGTTGTTACAAATAATGCAGACAGCATGTCTGCAATTTGAAGCGCACCGGAAGAAAGCTCCACCCATAAAAGTGGCAGTACATTAGTTTTGAATTTCTCCTCAAATAAGCGATCGAGGCTCTCAACTTAGTTTTGTACTTCAATTTGCATCACATGTTATTTCAGTGAGAGGGCGCATACAGTGGTGGCACTGTAAAGAACGTTATTTTACAGAACCAGCTGACCGACTGATCATGACAGAATTATTGATCAAAGTGCATTCATTATTCCTACTATGGAAATATCCGTATCACGTCGATGTATATAATGGAAAACTGCCTGCAACAAATGTCCTATAAAGACGTCATCCAGTATATCAATAATGAAATTGAATACATAAGTAGAATGGGTGTTATTCGATTAGTAGTTCCCGACGATGAAAACCAATAGGTTGATGTGGCCATCAAATAATCGCTTTAAAAA